GAAATCCCGAGAAGTGCTTGTTGCCCCATTCATACTTCTGAGTCGTTCTTCGAAAAAGAGTGTCAGCCAAACTAAATGTGGACTGAAAATCAAAAATTTATTGTTGAAAAAGGAAAAGTGTGGAAATTTCAAGAAATTTAGTTTTTGATAGATCAGATTCCGATCAGATCAGTCAAGATTCTTGAAAAAAAGTTGAGATTAATCTTTTTCCTTGCATTAAACATCTATAATATTCACCCATACGCTTAAGGTGGAAGAAAATAAAATCTGTAAGGAAGCAACGATTTAAGCATAATTGCAACTGAGAATAAAGAATGGTTCGGTTCGGGTTCGAATCTGACCGATGCACAATGCTTCCTTGGGCTACAATGTCGCCCAATTGCGAAAATAAAGCGAAATAGAATGGCTCAGTGATAAGATGGTAAGGCCGGCAAGGATTAAACACGATCTTTCAAAAACCTTGATGATGCTGGCGACTTATCTGCACCTGCACAAAATCTGTCTTGTGACAAGCCAGAGAAGCGCGGAATGTATAAGCTTAAATTTTCCATACCATTATCATATTTCAATTGAACACAAATTTGTGACATCTGAAATAGTTTTAATTTTATCTTCAATTCTATTTTTTAATGTTTTTATTTCGAAATTATCTTTTATTTTAATTATGGGATATCATGTTGACGATATCATGTAACGCTTGTTCCTTGAATTGCTTGTTGGTTTTGAACCGTTTACGCTACCGCTTGTTGAATTATTTGTGGCCCATTATTTACCATTCATTATTATTTATGCATTTTAAACTCAACAATGATATATCCTTAACTCCACTCATATTGCATTAACTTGAAATTTCCTATAGTCACCTACGTGCTATTAAATTTCGTCGTGCACTTAATAATCCACTAACAGTATATTTCTCAAATGAAATCTCAGTTAACTGCGAATGAGATGCCTTTTAAAATCGTATTTTGCAGACCAAACTGCACCAAATTTCTTCTTGTAGGCTCAATTATACTTTTCTGTCGTCATTCATTAGTGAACATCTCTATAGATTCAGTTCCTTAATGGTTTCGACTTTTTTTTGACCATTTTGTTTTCTCTTAGCATCTCATCAAAGTTTGCAATATATTTTTGCCACGGCCGTAATAGAATTTTTGATAGAGACTGAAGAGATTCGATCATGTATTTATTGCATATAGCAAGGATTCGAGATGATTTAGAAAAATTGTGGGAGTGTAGCATGTGCGAACAGCAGGAATCGAAAGGATCTTAAGGGGATATAATGAGTTTTCAGTATATATCTGGAATTGTTTTGAAGATAATTATGGCCGTAGAAGAATATTTTCACTATCTCTCTGTTTTTTGATGCTTTATCCTCTTATCTTTGCTTTTTTCCGTTTATTAACAATACTGAATTCTGGATTGGTGCGATTGGTCTTAATTCCTTTGATAACTTTAAATTTTTTAAAGATGAGGAAGTTTTGAAATTATTTGATCGAGATTTGATTTTTTACATTAAAAATGGCACTAGTGAATACTAATGGAGAAATTTATAAAAAGTACGCAAAATATGCAAAAAGTTTTTTTTGGTAAATTTTCTAAAAAAAGAAAAATTTTCACTCCACTCCACTTTTTCTGCGAAAACGCCCTTTGTTTTCTAGTACCTCGTTTTTTTCAGCACGAAATTAGCAGAAAGATATGAAGAATTTGAAGTTTTGTCGTTAAATATTTTATTAGGAGAATAAATCATACAATACAAATATATTAGCACTTACATAAATCGCACGTCATTTGCCATTGGGTAAACTATAGGCTAATTTACTTGCACAAGGTTGTAATCTATTAAGTAACCTTAATCTTTTGTTAAGAATGCGGTGGTTAATGGCACTTATTGTTACTGTTGCTTGCCGATGAAAATTGTATGTGCAAATAATTTCCTCTGCATACATGTTTGTGTTCAAAAATCCTCTACCATGAATCCCTATTTCATATTGTTGTTCGCTATTATTATCCAATGAGGCAAATATGACACTAAATTTCTTGTTTCATAAAGCTCAATGTTCTGCTGTTTCTAGTTGATAGATATTGCTGTGAATCCATTAACTTTCGTTGTCCAAATAACTTATACATTGCTTAGATCGATCGAACGATAATGTACGTTAAACTATCGATAACAAAAATTTGGTGCGATTTTTCGCTCTGATAAAATAGCCATAAAATCAGCATAAATAACGCTTAATGGTCAATGAAGTGGCAAATGATAATATTTAATAAAATATTTGCGCTTATAATAATAAATAATAAAAATATAATAATAAAAGATGAAAAATTTGTTTATTTTTGTTCATTAAATTATTGAAAAATAATCCTGAGCTAGAATTTTCGAGAATAAAAAGGCATCTCATTCATTGTTTGAGTTACTTTAAGTTTTGGCATTTCAGATGCTTCTCAGGTTTTTTTGGTGTCCATTGTGAATCTCGTTGTAATTGTTTGAATGGTGGAGAATGTTTACGGTCGGTTTCAATATGCGTGTGTCCTACAGGTTTTCAATTTTTTTCGTCCTTTTTATAACCAGTCAGTTAGCGTACCAAATTAAAAAATAAATTTTTGATTTCGAATAGTTATTCATATATATATAAAATATGGTCGATTAGAAAAACTTTTCATTGAAATTAAAGTTATTTTTCATTGATCGAAAAAATCAAATATAGTTGGGAAATTAGAAATTGTTTTTTAGATTTGAAATTATTTTTAATAAATTTTTAAACACTTTAAATTCTTTTTTATTATTTGGAATTAAAATGTGAAAATTATCATTAATTTTTATTTATGATATTGGCATCACTAATTATTACTATTACTTATCATTGTTACTTTCACTCAAATTTGTTTAAAGAATGAAGTTACCAAAAAGAATCTAAATGGAATGATTTTTTATGGATTTTATTTATCGTTTTCGAATAGTTTACATAATAATATTAATTTAATATTAATAATATTTAAATAGAGATTGTGGAGGATATTAGGAAGCTATTTGCCTTTGACCAATCTTGCCTAAGGTACATATTATGGATCTGTCGAGCAGATAAGATATCACATGATCGCATTCATCTTCGTTCAAATACCACTTACATAAATAATGTTATTAAAAAGAATCGCTTTCGCTGATTGTGGAGGATATTAGGAAGCTATTTGCCTTTGACCAATCTTGCCTAAGGTACATATTATGGATCTGTCGAGCAGATAAGATATCACATGATCATTCATCTTCGTTCAAATACCACTTACATAAATAATGTTATTAAAAAGAATCGCTTTCGCTGGTTAGGGCACGTTCTCCGTCGTCCACCACAGAAATTATCGCGTATATCGTTACATGCTAGACCGTGCGATGGATGGCTTCAAAGGTGGGCCAATCAAGACCTGATATGGCCAGGAAAGATTTTGAAGGTATAGATAGACCAGCAATATATGGACTTAGACGATGGAAAAAGGAAAGGCTTCTATTACTGTCGGCGATAGCATCAGACCGCGCCGCTTGGAAGCGTCTTAAATGTTGGAGTCAGCCTAACCAGTAATAGTGAGAGCTATTAGAAGAAGAATAATAATAATAAATAATATTAATTTAATATTAAATCCATTGCACAAAAAGTACTTGGAAGAGTCCATCGTTTTTTTATAGAACTCACATATAGGTTACTTTCCACATTCCTGGCCATTTGCTTTTAGTTCAATTATTGCTTTATCTTTTTTAAATTACAAGGAGCCTAAGAAGAAAAACCAAAAGGATTTTATATTTTCTGTTTTAAGCATTGGGAAGTAGATTTTTATTAATTTATTAGACCTATGCAAAGAATTTATGCTAAAATAAGTTAAAATACCTTAAATCCACTCTAATACGGCCATCAAAAGACGAAGTTACAATGTTTCCGTATAACGGCAATTAGAAATACGTTCTTCCGGTTGACGAAATCTCTATGGAGCCATCGTGGAATCACGATAAAAATGAAAGTCCTTATCTATACAGCCGTGTTCGATCTTGCTATGTGGCTGCGAAACATGATCAATAAGAGTGGAGTATATTAAGAAGTTATCTTACTTTGACCACTCGTATTTAAGATATATTTTTACGGGTTCGTCGTGTGAAAAAAATCTCACACTGCATCTACCTTCATTCAAAAACCACTTGCATTGATAGAACCATCATGGAGCGTCTCCTTCGCTGGTTAGGGCACCATGATAGTTAACATATTTCGTTATTTGCTAAACCGTGCGATGATTGGCGTCAAAAGCAAGGAATAGTCACCGAAGACCTGGGCTGATACAGTCAGGAAAAATCTTGAACGTATAGAGAGACCAGCGATATATGGACTTAGACGATAGAAAAAGGAATAACTCCTAATACTGCCGACGATGGCATCAGATCGCGCAGCTTGGAAATAACCAGTGTAGTTAGCCTAAATCAGTAATAGTGGTTATTAGAAGAAGAAGAAAATAGATTTAAAGCAATTATAAATAGCGACAAAATTAATTAGATTTTATTGCATTAATCCGTGCGAATTTGTTAGCTGATCCATTTTGTATTGTTTAAATAATTCATCGGTGCTTAAAATATATGCAAACAGTTGCGCAATGGCGATTTTTGTACATGCATTTATTGAGAAACAGGCGGAACGCTTGTTAGATTATTTTTAGAGGTTAATTGCCCGTCATGACCACAATTATTTAACAATACGCTCGTTTCGGGCAATTTTAGATTAAATGGCTACTTTAATTTTCATCTCATTAAACCTGACTCCTGCAGCAGTTTAATACAGAGGGAGAATTTTTAGCATGATGGAAATAAATTTTTTTCTAGAGCGTCAATCAAATGGCTTTTTTGCTTTTCCATAATTATATATTAATTATCCATAAATTTCATGTTTTGGAGTAATAAAATAAATTTGCGAAAACTTTTTCTGCAAAGAAATTTATAAAATCTATAATGAATAAAATTATACATGGAAGATATTCTCCATGTTTGAATAAATAATTTTTGACATATAGAAGCAAGTTTTTTGAAATGCTATGAAAACGACAGTGATCACCGTAATAATTTATCGAAGGGCGATTAAAACGTAGAATGCTTAATGTTAAATCGAAAAGATTATTAATGTTTTTTTGGCCTTACTCGAACGTCCTTGAGTTAAGTGAAGGGTTTTTTAATTGCAAGACATATACCGACTCCCTGAAATAGCATTCTTTTTATTTTTTCTCTAGTTTACTGCTCAGTTATTTTTATGTACGGATAAGAATGTTGTGGGAAAGTTTTTTTGTGACAAACTTAAGGGACTTTCGGCATTCAAATTTGAATTTCCTTCTTAAATAAATTTTTTCACTAAATTTGGAAAGTATTTCTGATTGGACTCGTTCCACGGATTTTTAGTGCTAATAAATTTTTCTCTAAAGAGTCATTTTGAAGTAGAAATACGGCTGGTCGCAAGCACTGCTCAAATTTTTTGAGTGCAGTTATACTTGTAAGGATGAAGGGCTGCAAACTGTGTCGCTCAAAGCCTCCTCAAATTTGGGTTTTATTTTATTTTAATAGCGATTCTAAACAATTATGGTCTAAAATATAAAAAATTTGACGTTATTAATTTAATAAGCTGTCAATCAGATTGTTTAGACTATTCTACAGCGAAGAAAATTTCCTCTCCAATGAATGAAGAAATAATGTTAAAACTTTTGCGAATTTGGTGATGTTTTTGCAAAATTTCTTTTCTATAATAAAGCATTTTCTTTGCATTATTCCATACAAAAATAATCTACTGGCATGGGCACTTGCCTATTACAATTATACAATTCATGTATACAATTCATTTCGATCATTATAATCACTATCTAATTTAATGATTTGATTACTTTTCACAAATTTATCTTATGCGCTTGGTTCTTATGTGAAAGACCTATCTATTCTCGCGAAAAATTCTAATCATAATAATAATTCATAGTAATATCTTTTTAAACATTCGACTTTCGCAGCTATGGAAAAATCTACTTTATGCAAAAAATTATTTAGGATTTCCTACTTTGGACGATTTGAAAGATTTTTGAAAAATTTTTTACTTAAATATCATAAGCAATGGGTTTTTGGATTCTTCGCGAGGTTTTTACCAGTTATATTAAAATTTCATTTGCAAAAACACATTTTTAGTCGATTCTTTCCATATCATTTAAGCATTTTATCAGTTAACATTAATAAATTATACTCACGCCACTGAAATAGACATTTTAAGTAAGGTTCAAAATTTTTTGATAATTTGAAATATTTGAAATGATATTCTGCTGAATTGCATATGAAAAAAATGTGGCCTTTGCTTTTTTCTTTTTTGATAGTTTCGCATAATCGGCTAATATTGATAGGAAAGTAAATGCAAAATTATAGGTTATAGTGGGCCGTTATGTGAAAATCGTCAACCAAATGTGTGCGATGGTAAACCATGTGGAGTGAATGGTGAATGCAAACTGACGAGATCTGTCAACGATTATCGATGCGAATGCAGTCGAGGATTTACCGGTTTGTTATCTCATAATAATTCTTCCACTTGAACTGGTATGAGAAGGTCATTATTTTTCATTTCATTTCATAATTTCATTATCACATTATCACATTATTTTTTGAACATTGGATATTTTAAAATTTTAAATTTTAAATTTTAAATTTTAAATTCTACAAATCAAAACACTTCTATATTTGACGAAAACCTGTTATTAAAAGTCCGGTTGATCCTCTACTTTACATTATGGAAACGGTGAGTTGGCGGAAGAATGCCGAAGAAAGAATCTATGTGGATAATCTATCGCCATTCATAAAAGTGATCGAAAAAGTTTTGGTGGTTTTGTTAGCACATTATCATCATTATGATCGAACCATTACTATTTATTATCAATGATAGATTGAAAGGCCTCTTCGATTTTTGTCGAAGCGTTCTTTATTTGATTATTTGAAATTTGTTCTCTTTCTCTTTGAACAAACCGATTCCCAAATCAAAGCCAAATTTTAATTGTAATTTTTCTGTGAATAGTCAACAAAGCAATACTACTAGTTTATTCTAGAGAAAACCTGATTTGGTCAATGCAAACAGCCACTTTTTTCTCATGATATCCTTTAGAAAATGAAATAATCTTTTATTAATTGACGCGATATTTTTAAGAGAACCATAAACAATTCTTATGGTCTAAAAAAAATTTGTTTCTATCGTTAAACCATAAATTGTGGTAAATTGCATTTTCTGAATTTAATTTTTATTTTCAGAAAATTAGAAGGGGTCTGCAAAAGTTACCTTTTAATATGGGCAACTTTGGATAATAGATGATTTGATAGTTTGCTACATTTAGAATATTGGTTCACAGTGTTGGACCAAAAAGGCCCTCAGGGCCCTCAATGCCTTTTCAAACCAGGGCTTTATGGTCCTATAATAGTATATGATAATGATGTAGTGATATATGTGAAAATTTATCAGCTTTTATTTCCAATATTATCGAGAAGTAGAACTATAAAAAGAAAAGATGTCATGAGAATTTCAAAAATTTTTTTCAATTTAAGGGGAGCCTAAAAGTTTTATGAGAGCTTAAATCCGACCTAGAGTTGGAGAGCCGTTTTATTAGAAAATCGATGCACAAAGTTCTCTCCATTCATTTTAACCTTTAGCGAAACACGTTCCCATTTATTTCATCGACTGCAAAATTTATTGGTTAATCAATCAGAATCTTAAAGGTTAAAGTGCAATTGCCTGTGGTTTTATTCAATGGTTATATAGATAATATATCATTTGTTCCAATTAGCCATAGTTTTCAAAAATTGACGCTTTGCCGTAGAATAAAATGAAATTCATTTTCTTTTCAAATTAAAAACAAATAGGAAAAAGATTGTCCACAGAATATGAGCTTATTGGTGGCCTACCTTCATTTCTATCGCTAACTGATTGCCTAGCAAAAGTTTCTAACATAATTACCAAAGAGCGAAATAAGACTAACCAGAAGACCATTCACCTTACGTAATGTAAAATCACTAATTTGTAAACTGGACCTATATATTAGAAGTAGAAGAATATTCGTGCTATTCTTATAGGTATCCTTTTCTTCTACTACACTTTTGAGAAGTAAAGGCTAAAATATAGGAATATTGTGGCGAATATTTTATTGACTTATCGACAGTTTTTTTGTGTTCGTTTTTTTGATACCGTTTAGGCAACAGTTGATGGACGTCCTGGCATGAACACATCTTTTATGTTCTTGCCAAGTCCTCATGGATTTTTGAAGAAAACTTTCATTATCGCTCATTTTTGTCACATTAGAAATACATGTGGCGAATATTTTGTTGAAAAGGGTCGAATCCACAAAAATTCGGCAAACTTAGTCTCAGTGACCAAATGACCGGTGAATAACTTTTATGAGAAACTGTCTATTGTAAGAAAAATTTCCTTTCACTAATGCAATCATTAGAATACAATAAGATATTTATTTATTATCTGACCTTTATGTCATTTTTACAATTTATAAATGATTTGTTAGCAAAATCGACTAAGCGCATTGAATAAATATAGAAATTTATCTAGAATTATGAGTTAAAAGTCAAAAACTCATTTGTGGAACCAGAAAACAAGCTTCATATATGAAATAAAATTTAATATTATCCGGGACTTTTTTGGTCCCATTGAATATTGAATATTGCCAGACATGGATCCGAAATTTGAAAATCAGAAATCGGTAACAGTAATATAGCGATTTTTTGATAGAAGGCAAAATATAATTATTAATTTGTGAGTACTTATTTGTTTAAAGTATTATAAATGCGAAGGGATTGTTATTCTTATCGTTCATTGCTCTCACTTATTGCATGGCAAAAGAGGAAGGGGGTGGGGAGGAGAAAAAATAAAACTACGAACTGTTTGTTGGATTTTTCTGAAATTATTGTACCAATTCAATTGTCCAACAAACAAAAAATCTTTGTTTCGTTTCATAAAATGGGAACTACTCAGAATACTTCGATCATTTCCTCCGCTTTTGGAATTTCATAAAATGATTTATTCGCTTGAAAATTTTCACTCGGCAGTAAAAAATATGAATAAAAAATACAAAAAATACAAAAAATTCAATAAGAAAATTATAAAAAATAAGAATAAAATTGTAAGTGAATGAAAAGAGCTAGAGCTTATGGACTAATCTGATTATTTCGATCGGTTTCTAACACCAGAGGTCCGATTTTCTGGCCCTATGGGACTCGTCATTAAAAAATCTTGCATCAGTGACCCACTTTCCACTGCGATTTTCTCATCGTATTGACAGCCACCTCTAATCAAGATTGAGAGCGTTTATACAATCAATATCATAGGTAACATTTTAGGAGAAAATTGCGAGTTAATTGATTACTGTGACGATAAACCATGCAGTAATGGCCATTGTATTTCAATATATAATGGTTTCCAGTGCGTATGTCCTCAAGGATTGACAGGAATTCGTTGTGAAAATGATGTTAATGAATGTTTAATGAATCCATGTGGGCGAGGAACATGTATTAATGGGGTTCGTTTTTTATTATTTTCAATATTTTAGCATATGCAAATGATTTTTTCAAGAAATCCTCGTTCTAAGAAAATTTCTAAAATTTTTTAAAATCGGCGAAACATTAAGAAATATAAAAATATTAAAGGAAACAATGGGTTATTGGTTATTTTAAAAATATTTCGGATAATTCTTCTGTGTGGTGATTATTGGTTTTGTATTTGAATTGTGATTATAGTATTTAAAATATTTTTTAAGTACGGTAGCTATCAGTGTAAATGCCCCGCGGGTTTTCGTGGCAAACGATGTGATATTCCAACAAATCCTTGTGATTCTTCTGTATGTGAAAATGGTGGGCGATGTTTTCCATATCGCGATAATTTTTATGCTTGCGAATGCCGTCCAGGTTATTCTATGGATTTTTTAAAATATGATATATCTGGTCCTGAATGAATGAATATGAAATTTGGATGTTCCATTTAACATAAATCTCAAGATATTTGGTTTGTGTCGAATTATCGTTGGATCCTCACCATAGTAAAGTTGGTGAGTAGCTTGTAACGAGTATTGATGGATAATTGGAAAAGATTTAGGATTCACTGGAAGACATTGCGAAGTTAATATAGATGACTGTTCTGGTAATGTGTGTATGAATGGTGCTACTTGCGTCGATGGCGAAGAAGGCTATACTTGTTTATGTCTCAGTGGATTCTCAGGTACATCTTTTATAGTGTTTAGTCTGGTATTTCTTTTTACGCCGAAGTAGTTGAGTTGATAAACCAGGAAGAAAAAGCCTGAAAGCTGGTCGCCATACTTTCTACTTTTATTTTTCGAATATGAAGTTTTTTACATTCCAGATTTTTCTGAATTTATTGTTATATGATTTCTCATAAATTCAAAAAGAACTGATAAAAAACTAGATTAGCATTAAATGAATTCTTATATTGCACATATGCCATATCACCTCTTACAAATTCTTTCTTTGTTCTTTTGTCGACCCGTAAATCAATCGTGTATGGGAATATCCTGATGATTATGTTTTTTTTCGTTCTAAGTCTTTGGATAAACACGGTTATTCTTTTCATATTTCCCGATGCTTAACTGGCCATAAAAATTAAATTTTCTCGATATTTCTTTAAAGTGATTAAATATGGAATTAATTATATTAATTAATTGATTTAATATAAAAGAATTAACGAAAATTCGATCGACAATAAAGAAAGTTCAGAGAAAAAATTTCAGTTTTAAAATTTAGCTGAAGTCATATCGTATCAATTTAGAAAGGATAGCCAAGTGGACATTGGTTGAGATTAGCATATTAAAAGGCAAGGATCCAATTACTATTTCAGAGGGAGCAAACTTGTCAATAAAAAAGCGGATAGTGTTGACGGCACTTATATTTTTATCGTCAAGTTACTTTCTAGCAGAAATTTCTCACCACAGTTATAGCCAGAATAAATCTAAAATTAATGAACGTCACCACTTTTTACTTATATGCCAAGTTGCAGGGCAGTTTTGCGAGAAAGACATCGACGAATGTACGATGGGTAATCATCTTTGTTTAAATGGCGGTACTTGTATAAACAAAGCTGGAGGATATAAGTGCATTTGTGTGAATGGTTGGGAAGGCGAAAATTGCTCAATCAACAAAGATGACTGCGTCGATGCACTTTGCGAAGCTGGCAGTACATGCGTTGATCATGTTGCAAAGTATACATGCGAATGTCCTCCTGGCAGAATTGGTCCGTTTTTTAAGTCAATATTGACAATATAAAGATGAATAGTCCAGATTTTCCATTTAGAATATTTATTAGAAAGTTTTGTTTTTTTGGTTAATTAGGTTGTTAAAATTTTTTTGATTTAAAAATGAACTTGACGTGCAATAAATTTAAGAAATTTTGGTGAGATAGAGGATGTCGGCTAAGCAAAATTATCCAATTATTAAAGGTCTATTTTGTCATATGGATGACCCTTGCCTGTCAAATCCCTGCAAGGCTGGCTCAGAATGTGAAACAGATACTTCAAATGGTAAATATATCTGTACATGTCCTAAAGGATATACTGGCGAAGATTGTTCTCACGACATTAATGAATGTGATATGGTTACGCTCGTTCTATTTTAATATTCTAATATATATTTTATATTCTTGCATGTGTGTATATTTTTTGGCAACTTTTTATTAATTTAATATTATTCAAGGAATCCACCGTGTGTTGGAATGGTGGTACATGCGTTAACACCCCAGGATCCTGGTATTGCCTTTGTCCGCCAGGGTATACGGATTCATGGTGTATGACGCATATCGATCAATGTAAATCAAATCCGTGTCAAAATCAAGGGACATGCTTGGATTTAGGGCCAACATTTAAATGTGTATGTATGTCAGGTGGGTTGGTTCTTTCTGGATTTATATGATGCATTTTCCACCACGTTCGATCTTTCTATGTGACGACGAAATCTCTTATATTCACCTTACTTAAGGATTTGACGGCGATTACTGTGAAGTGAAATGTCCTGAAGGTTTTGAAGGAGAAAATTGCGAACGTAAACAATTTATTGGATGTAATTCATCGGATTGCTTGAATGGTGGAATTTGTTTCAAAGGTTTTTGTCGATGCTCGATTGGTTATACTGGTGATCGATGTGAACAAAAATCAGATCCATGTTTATTTAACGGTTGTTCGCCAAACTCAGTATGTGTTCCTTCAACGAATGGAATAAACTATCGATGTGAATGCAAGACGGGTTTCTCAGGGCTAGATTGTCGTCAAGAAGTATGAGTATTACATTTTACAAGATATTTAAATAACAGTAAAAAAATTTGCATTTAATTAATCTGAAAAAATTTAGATCAGTCAATGTGCTATGAATCCTTGTCAACATGGCGGTGTTTGTACTGACCACACGGGTGGTTTTATTTGTTCTTGTAATGCTGGTTATACTGGTGATAGGTGCCAGATAAACATAAATGACTGTGCACATAATCCATGTTTGAACGGCGGTACATGCATAGATGAAGTTAATTCATATTCATGTCATTGTTTTCCTCCTTTCGATGGTGATCGATGCCAATATAAGTATGTGGTTGAGTTTTACAAAAGCTTTTTTTAAAGAACTTCAATTTATAGATTTATAAAAGAAATATAAAATATTCCAGATTAAATCCTTGTAGCAGAAATCGCTGCGAAAATGGCGCCACATGTCTTATAGGCTCAAACTATAGAAATTATACATGCGATTGCCGTGTTGGATTTGGAGGGAATTTTTGTGAGATGGTAAATCTTAAAAGAAATTTTTGAATGCTAATCTCATAATTTTTTATTGTTCAACGTTCAATCTTGCATAATTTTTATCATCTTTTTTTCAGGATGTAGACGAATGTTCTATGAGGAATCCATGTTTAAATGGTGGAACTTGCATCAATACGCTTGGATCTTATGATTGCCGTTGTCTAGAAGGTTTCGTTGGCAAAAACTGTGAAATTGATTATGATGATTGCAAATCTTGTAACAATTCTTCGCTATTTTTAAAATTTGACTATATAGGAGTGGTTCACATGTGGTTTATATTTTCACTCTGCCCTCATTTATATCTAAGGGCTTTAAATTTTCACCAATGTTTTACAAGATTTTATAAGAATTCTTGCTTAATTGTTCTTATTTCTTAGTAGATCATAATTTTAATTGGTTTCCAGTTCCATGTTTAAATGGCGGAAAATGTGTTGATGAAATTAATGGTTACCACTGTGTCTGTCTGCCTGGATTTACTGGTAGGCAATGCGCAACAAATATAGATGAATGTGAATTTTCACCATGCGAAAATGGTGCCACATGTGTTGATCGTATAAATGGATTCGAATGCGTATGTCGTCGTGGTTTTAGCGGTATAAGATGCCATAAAAATGATGACGATTGTCAGCAAGGGTTGGTTTCGGTTTTCATTAATTAATTAATTAATTTGATATCATGGTGAACTATTGCTTAAAAAGGCCACTGAAAGTTGAAATAATATAAGAAATTATGAATGAACCAGCGCGTTTATTTGTTTTTCAGCTATTTCACTTATATTTATAATTTATCGAATTTAAGACGTCTCTTATCACCGTTTTCAAATTACCTTGATTTCCTGTTTCTTAGAACGGTATTAGTTCAGACAACCGATTTTTCGACAAATCTAATGATGTATCAGTAGTCGGCTGTCTGGTTCGATAATCTGATTGTCATACCTTATCTTACCTCATTAGTGTTGTTGATGAAAGAATTATTTACCCATCTATGACCGGTTTTTCTGCTGAAAATGACCTTTCTTCTAATATTGTTCGCAAAAATTGTAATTCATGCTTCTTTTTATCTCAAATGTTTATTTATTTGAGCAATTTTATCATTATTTCATTTACATTAGAGGTATTATTATATTATTGTATTATTGCATTTGAGAAGTTCTATAAAATCCTTGGCATTAATTGAGTTTGGGTACTAATTTAAGGACATGTCATTCAGATTTTGCAAAAAATGTAGGGCTGTTTCAATTTTAGCGAAGTCGTGCCTTTTCACATTTGAGATTTCTAAATTTTTTCATTTATTTCCTTCATTAGTTATTATGAAGGATTATTTCTCAGTCATATTAGCTTTTGACCGATTATAAAAGTTTTATTAATGTCATTATTGGTTCCAAGGGCCGATGCCAAGGGTGATAAATATGTTTAATTAGTAATTCGACTAGTTTGTATGAAATTTTATAACTAATGCAGTCGCGGGGGTCCGTCATCACTTGCATTCCCACGGCCTCAGTAACAATTTCTTTGTTAATATTTCAAACCAAAAGTCGTCCATCATTCATCCATTTTGCTTTCATTTCGATTCTGCTCAATGCTCCCTTCTATTTTATTTTATGTTTACTACCAAATTCAAAAGAAAACGAGAAATTTATGTGAATGAAAACGTTCCACTGAGTCGAAACACGCTAGTTAAAGCGGTTAATTTTTTCTTTGAAACATATCTTTTAAAAAATAAACAATTATTTTCATTTATGTAAAGAATAATTAAGATAATTAAGTAAGCAACTAAATGGTAATCACTCATCATTTCTGATTAGATTCATTTCACTGGTTATTAGTAGGACAGATATCTCCGCCAGGTTCTGCAGTAGCAGCTGTACTCCTGCCTATGCCCAACTATGAAGCTCAACATGACATTCTAACATCGATCATCGATCATTCGTTGTTGTTATTAATATAAGGCAAAAAAATAAAACTGATAAAATGGAAAGAAATGTAGTAAATAATGGTATTAAATAAATCGCTTTATTTGGTTACAGCGCGTTCTTCGTTTCACACCACAGGAATTGACACATATTTCGCTACTCTGTGATGGCGTCAAAAACAAGGAGGCTCCTAGTCCGCTACAGCCAAGAAAGGCCTTGAACCTATAGTTAACCAGCAATATATGGACATAAACAATGGAAAAAGAAAAAGCTTCTATTACTATTAGAGGTGGCGTTGAACAGCGTGGCCTTATCCTTGTAGCGGAGCTAACCAGTAGTGGTGAGAGCCAGAAGAAAAATCAATTTTTCTTTCAATTTGATTTATTTCTTTTTCAGCAAGGGGCAGGATAAGTGAGTGGGTAGTTTTTTCTGTTATCATTGAAAAGATACGGCTCCTGCTTGCAGTAGAAATGAATCACCTGAGGTGCTGTGTGGCAATGTATTTCTACAACCACTCGTTGGAAAAAATTTCTAATCGTACTAGCGACTGGCTGAGTTAGTCTAACCAGAAATAATGATCGCTAACAATTAATAATAATTCATATGTTTTTTTCTTTATTTAACTTGGCATATTTCTGTTAAATTAGAATTTATTAAATCATGGAAAACTCCGTCAGTTAGCTTATAGGAATCTCATTGAATAATTGTCACATCCTTATAGTCAACAAATAGCTAATTGTACAAACATTTTGATTTATATGCGTTCGATCACACCTGGCTATAGATTACATTGTTGCATTAAATGTTTGCTTGAAGAATTAAGTATATTTATCCCAAATCGACCTTCGTTGATTTCTCACTTTAATGGGACACTTTGGTTGTTATCAACGAGTAATATGTACTTTTCTCACGAAATTCAGCTGATCTATATCAAGATTCTGGTCAAAATGACGAGCAATTTGAAGAAAAACCCGTGAAAATTTGTGATTTAATAAGGAATAGGGTGATAGTCTGTGAAATAATTTGAGATTGCGTTTTTTTTTTATATTTTCGGTTAATATTGCAGATTATGCTTAAATGGTGGTACTTGCATTGATGGCGTGAATGCATATCGATGCCGATGCCAGCGAGGATTTACCGGGAAAAATTGCCAGTATCAGGTGGATTTGGAACAATTCAACAGGACTGACATCCTCGAAAATGAAATTTGTGTTGAAAATGATTGTGCAAAAAAAGCTAAAAATGGAATCTGTGATTCCGTTTGCAATTATTTTGTTTGCGACTATGATGGTGGTGATTGCAGTGCGGGAACAAAGCCATTCGAAAAATGCGCGTCTCCGAGTTATTGTGCGCACGTCTTTCGCGATCATAAATGCGATCCAGTTAGCCCTTTTCACATTTCTTTGGAAATGGATATAGGTTATTGTGGATATGGATTCAATATCTACCAGTTTTGACTTTTTTACTTTTATTTTTATCCGTATCTTATATTGTTTAAACTAATTAGATTTGCAATGAAGAAGAATGTCTTTTTGATGGATTCGACTGCGATTCTAGTGCTGAACGATGCGAGAAACTTGAATTTTGTACAAGACATTATCGCGATGGTAAATGCGATGTAGGATGTAACAATGTTGGCTGTGCATGGGATGGAGGCGATTGTGACGAGGACCAAGCGAAAAATATAACGGTCTCATATGTCTCATTTTTATATGACTTGGCCGCTTTGGCTCGAAATAGAAATAAATTAGGTAGATTAGGTAGAACAATCAGCAATATTAATATTTAGTCAAAATTTAAAATTTACCCACTTTAACGATTTTTCAGCTTGCTGGCGATGTTATTCTGATTCTTCTTAGAAGTCCGAGCCAGTTTCTTCATATAATTCCTAGTTTTCTATTTACATTAGGCCAAAAATTGCGAGCATCTGTTCGCATACGCCTATCTCATGGTAGACCTATGATTTATCCATGGAATTCTGAAGATGGTGTCGGACCCATGCTCGAAATATCTTCTGAGAGAATGCCAGGTCTCTCGTTCAATTATAAGCTACATGAAAAGAGAAGTGGTACGTGGATTTAAATGAAAACTACAAAAATTTTTGGTTCAGAACATTTCAATACATATTAAATAATTTTACAAATAAATTTTATATAAATAATACTGTAGTAATTATGATATAAATTTATATTACCTTTTAGTCAAACACATTCTCAGCGGTACAATGGTGGTATTAACTTTTGATATCGCTCATTGCTTAAAAAATGATCGTGAAGACTGCTTTAGCGATATTGTCAATGTTGTCAGTTACTTGGGTGCAGCTAGTGCAAAAGAAGTTTAATTTTCAGATTTGAATTTTTTTGTTCTTCACTTAAAATATAACAGCAATCATAAATTATTGTTTTTTGAAGGGATTAAAAGACCTTGGAATACCGATATATTCTGCTCGAGCTGAAATCCATCATAAAGAATCGACGGCCCCTTCTCCATGGACGTCAGTTGCCATTTGTTTTGTTGGGCTAGCTATTATTTTGGTAATATCTTCTGTTTTGATGATGCTGCAAGGACGAAAACGAAAAGTTATCCATGCGCATATATGGCACCCTCCACCTTCAGATAGTTGTGAGTTTTGATATATTATGCAAATCCGTTGTTTTGCAATCATTTAACTTTTTGAGAAATTTTCAAATAAGTTTCAGGTAAATCTTCTACGGCTAATCTGGATACCTATAGCATTAATACAAGTTTCTTTTTAAACGGTTGTGGGAATGCAAAACGTATGCAAGTGGAAAATGTGCCTGTTGGAATTGCACATCCAAATCTCTATGTTGATGAAGACTCCCAATCGTTTCTGAAGCCAAAAACTGAAGCTATGTCCCCACAGTCAATTTCGTGGAGCCCTCTGCATGATGAAGCTGACGAATTACAGCCAATATCTACTCCTGTAAATTTTCAATAGGAATAGTTTCTCGACATATTTTTGGAAAAATAATTCAGCCATTTTAATCAAATTTTTCTAGAAAGCCAAAAATACTAAGATACAAAATTCTCGACTGATTGTTAGAATATTTCTGTGGAGAAATGTATAATGGTCCATTTTAGATCGACAATACATTTGTCAATTTGAAAGGTAGAAATGGCCGTACGCCTCTTATGCAAACAGCATCAAATCAGCTAAAACCAGAGCATTATTCTATTGAAGATATCAAAAATCTTCTGGCAGCTGGTGCTGATATTGATATACAAGATGATCATGAAGATACTGCACTAATGCTTGCAGTAAAAACTGGTCGTGTAAAAGTTGTGCAATATCTTTTGCTAGCTGGTGCTGATCCAACAATCGTCGACGAACGAGACCGGACAACTCTTCATCATGCAGTGGCAGTACAATCGATTGAAATTGTACGGCTTCTACTGGATACTCAGCGCATAAACGTATATTGTTTTCAGCTATATTAAGATGGTCTTCTTCTTCTAGATAGATTTAAGTATCTTTCAATCAGATAGAGAGAATTGAATCAATTTTATTTATTTTCATATCCAGAATTTTTCTTGATATCCCTGAAAATAATCGAAAGATAATTCAAATTATTTACTAGGATTTACGCATTTTAAGTAATCATGTCTTGTTTATCATATCTTGTTTAAAATGTAAGAGATTCACTTTGAAATTGCTATTAATCTAATAGTTGTTTTAGGTTGATGCGATTGACATTGAGCATAGAACTCCGCTTATAATTTGTGCTATGTTTGATATGATGGGTCCAGATATAGTTCTGATGCTGCTCAAGGCTAAAGCGGATGTTGCTTTTGCCGGAGATAAATCATCAATAAATTACGATGGAAAAACAGCGCTTCATTTTGCAGCACAACATTGCAATATCACTGTCATCCGTGTCTTGGTGGAACATGGTGCAAATAAGGATGCTCAAGATCACTTGGTTGGCATAATTAGCCTAAAAAGATAGTAAATATATCAAACATATTTAATGATTAATTTCATGAGATAATCAAATGATATAATAAGTCGAAACAAATAGCTACTTCATTTATTTACTTACCTTTTAGAAAATTGGTTTTTCATTTACTATATGGCTAGATTAAAGCTGTATTATATAATATAATATAATATAATATAATATAATATAATATAATATAATATAATATAATATAATATAATATAATATAATATAATATAAATATAATATAATATAAATATAATATAATATAAATATAATATAATATAAATATAACATAATATAA